GGTTTGTCGAGCATGGTGACAGCCCGAGGTCGACTGTCGACAGTAGATGGATGAGCAGTGGTTGAGATCGATGCAGACCTAGAGTAGTAGTGTACTGGTACAACTTGGGATCGTGATCTCGACGCAATCCACGCTTACAAATCAATGCGCATCCAAGGCCGTGGCATCGATAACCTATCAGACAGAAAGTCATCTCAATATCACTTATCTTGAGCTATTCGAGGCTACCAAATTGAGAACTAGAGAACATGATGAGATTGTCCAGGCAACATGCATATAGTCTACAGATTCGCCGTCCTGGAGAACATGGGGGAGAATGTGGAGCGAATGTGGTGGGAATCCGCACATTCTCTGCATGTTCTCTCCCGCCAGAATCTGGTGCTTCACGCTGTGTCAACGTCAAGCGTATCGTACGGCTTCGAACGGAGAGCATGTAAGCAGCGGAGGCCCCCAGCGGTCCGCTGTGATTGATGAGTTATGAGAACATGAGATGTCAGGTCTCATGCGACCGGCGTGGGCTGCGCTTATTGAGTGGATGAGGTCGGATTCATACGCGGGCTGCGTACAAAGTTGGTTCACACGAAGCCATCGGAGGGACCATCGGAGCCGAGCGACTCGGACCTGGACTGGCGCTGGCTTGTCGTAGTCGTAGTCGAGAGCTGTCCCATTATGAGTCTGGGGCTTTGAATTCGGAAGATCTGGAGTCGGCGAGCGCAAGTCATCTGTCCTGGATCGTAAGCGAGATGAAAGAGGTTGATAAAGGTGGTGGTCGGTGGTTTACATATGAGCGCTTGCGTGTGTCAGTAGCAAGCGATCAGACACGAGCGTCCGTACAACGAGGTGGAGGAGGTCTTGGCTTGCCGTAAGGTGGGACGAGATTGAGGAAGGCCGCGCTGAGAATGATCGAGACGGCGTGAACGAGCCGATAAAGCAGTGCTCTGAGAAAGATCAGGCACGCGGGTCGTCCGGGTTGTGGTGGGGAGTTGGGTTCACCTGGAGTGTGCAGAACGGGGATTGGAGATGGAGGGAAGGCAGAGAGAATGAATGATTGAGAGAAACGAGGAAATGAGAGGAGGGGAAGAAGAGGGCGGGGAAGGGGAGATCGGGGGATGGATCTAGATGTAATAGGAAGCAGATGACTGTGGCCTCAAGCCCCGCAAGGCCCTAGGCCTGCGTTTCTCACTGACCATGGCCCATCCCCGTTTCCCCGTCTCTCCGTGCTTTCCGACTTGACACATCGCTTTCCTTTCTCCATCTACCTTCACTACCACCCTCCGTTGCTTCCACTCCACCCGCTTGCATCTGGGACTGGATCCCGAGTCTCAGTGCTCTTCGATCTACCTCAGCATCAACCCTCATGCACATCGCGTCCACCGCTGACGCCCAACGCACCTCCGCACGGAAAGGAAAGCAGCGGGACCTGTCCCTACGCGACGAGGGGGACGGCGCTGCCGACGGCGTAGTGGTCGACCTTACCCTCATCACCGACTCTCTTTACCAGGCGTAAGTCTTCTCCTCATTCCACTGCTTCTTCTGCGCTACCACTTTGAGCTTCTCTCGCGTCGAGTAGCTCAAAGACACGTCTTCTGACTTCGAATATTGACGTCCCTGTCATCACAGCACGTATGTCGTCCCTATATCCCTTGGCATAGGCCTCAGCAAGCACCAGGTCCAAGTCGACACCGGTTCATCCGATCTCGTCAGTACTCTCTACTCAGCCCCTTGAGCTCCCCCTCCTGACTTGCGCCCAGTGGCTTGCTTCTACCGCGTGCTCCTCGTCTGCTTGCAATGCCGTCGGAGGCCAGAGGTACGATCCCTCAGGGTCCACACCTACCAACCAGCGCATTACGCTCAGCTATGCCGACGGAGAGGCTGATGGGCCTATCGTCTGGGACACAGTCCAGCTGGGAGGATATAGCATCGATAATCAGGCACTTGGCACGTTCCTCCTTTCTTGATTGCTTTTATTCTTCCTGACCGTAAATGGTCCGTATACGCATCGTTCAGTCGCCGCGTCCAACGTCAACAACGAGCCGCTTTCTTCCAACTTCAACGGCGTCATGGGCCTTGCGCTTCCCCTCAATTCCGACATCGCACACCAGCTACCAGCAGCCACGAATGACATCCCGGACGGTGCATCTTTGGCCTCCAACCTCTTCAGTATGACGCCCCTCAGTGCCGCTCCCGGCGCACGCTTCTTGTCTCTTGCCCTTGAGCGGCCTGGTTCAGATCGTGTTCCGTCCGTGCTTGGCATTGGCCGCCACCCCTCCAAGCTTGTGTCCGACCCAAACAAGATCGAGTACGCAAGTGTTGTGTCTTCCAATGTTGGTGCAACCTTCTGGCAGGCGCGCGTGACGGCTATCACTGTGTACGTCGACGACAAGCCACTGCCGATCTCCCTCCCCCACTCTGTTGTTCCAGGCGCATCTGCGCCCAGTGCCATCCTCGACTCTGGTGTCCCCCTCATCGTCACGACCACGCAGATCGCGGATGCGATCTATGGTGCATTGGGCGTCGGCCCAGCGAACGACGGAAACTGTATGTAGCTCTGCTCATCTGACTATCGTCCACTCTCCTGACTCATTTGCAGACTACCTCCCGTGCACTACAGCGCTCAACGTCTCCGTTCAACTCGACTCTCGTTCTGAACTATTTCTCCATCCCCTAGACCTCACGACATATCCCTTGAACGGCGGACCCTCAGATAATTGCATCGGTCTCATTCAGACACCCGCGTCGATCCCTGGGGCCAACTTTGGCACTCTGGCCGACATCATCTTGGGTGTCCCCTTCCTGCGCAATACTTACTTCGTCATGGCTTATGACCCGCCGCTCCCGAACGGTACCTTCCCCGCAAATTCCGCGAACTCGAATAGCGTCGATGACGTCCGTCCGCGATTGGGCTTGATGAATCTGACCGACCCGGTCGTCGCCGCGGACGAGTTCTATCAAGTGCGCGTACTCAAGCAACCGTTGGGTAACGCGGTTCCTCCCACGGCCTCGCATGGTAAGGGCCTGTCTGTAGGCGTGAAGGTCCTCTTCGCCCTCCTCGGGTTTGTCGTTCTGTGCATCGTGCTATTCGCCGCGCGGTGGGCATACATGAGGCGGAAGTATAGGCGCGAGGGCGCCAATGCCGACGCCTTCGATGGCAATAGCAAAAGCACCGCGTACGCCTTGAACGCGCTTGGATCCCGCAAAACGCGCTCCGGAGAGCCGACGGAGGATGAGCTCCGACTGCAGCGGTTTGAAGAGTATAAGCGGCGTCAAATGGGCTCACAGTACACGGATGACTCCAGTAGCACTACCGTCGCGGACGCGGCGTATGGCAAGAGAGGTGCGGACGAGTTCGGTCTGTTGAAGCTCGCCGACGCTCCCGGGACACCTCTCAAGGACTACTTCGACCCTTACGACGACACGCTCGTGGCTAGTCCGGCGCCGGATCATCTTCAAAAGCAGAGCCCTACCATCGATCATCTCTCGCCCCTTCCCCGCACCGCACGGCGCTCCGACCTATCGCCCCGCTCTATGCACCATCGGACGCCGAGCGGCGGCCCCAGCTCCGACATGCCTCTTCTCGCTCATGCCCACGTGGACTCCAGTGCGCAATTCCGTGATTCGACGTTCACGGAGTTCGGGATGGAATCCATATCGGGTACACCGAACAGTATGGTTGGTATCGGGCGGAGGCGATTAAGCAGCATGGCAGGTAGTCCGATGAGTCCCGAATCTCGAGACGAATACTTCCCTCGCGTGGCGCCGTATCATTCGCATGGGAGGTCGGGCAGCGCGGCGAGCGTCACCATGAGAGGCAGCCCGCCACGTAGTCCTGTCGCGATCCCTGCGCCTGTGTTTGCAGTCGAGCCAGCGGCGGCGTCCGAGCGCGTAATGGACCCTTCGCAAAATGTTTCGCGCATGTCCGTCACTGGACACGAGACCGAGACGTGATCTTTCGCTTTTGTGGGATTGAGTACGACACCTCCGTGAGGAGGAACTTTCTACTATGCATACCGCTTTGCTTCTCACCGGGACACTCTAGCTACGCATTGTATTTTTATTGCACGGACTTTACTCGTTTCACGCTCCCTGTAATTACTTTAGCACAGTCACTATCCCAGCACTACTATCGTTATCGTTTACCGCTTGCCACAACATCTTAGATTTCGACTGGGCCATGAACCTCCTACACACCCCATCACCGATATCTTGGCCCGGAGGTCCGGAAGGCAGGTCTGCGCGAGCTGGTGGCAGATCTCGGTGGAAATCCGATATAACCTCCGCCAGAGGCGAATGCCTGATCCTCTCATTGTTCGAGCTGGTAGGGTACGACCATCAAGACATTCCGTGGAGCATTATCGTTACCACACTGCTTGTGTGAGCGACAAGCACTGGTAACGAGGACTATCTACAGCTCTCAAGTATGCCCGTAGTACAGTAGACCACAGATGTAGAGAGGGTTGCATTAAGCATGGACATCCCGATTGGGCTTGTGAGACGTCTGAGGCTCGGAGCGTCCTCTTCTCAAGCTCCGTTAATGGCCCCCACGGCTTGTAACCTGCTTCGTCATTTGCAGCGGTGAGTGGGGGGTTTCCCGCACTGCCCTGTCATGGTGGCTCTCCGTTGCTAGCTGTCGTCCTAGGTAGTAACGGGCCAGCGACCTGAAAATTGAGTACGCCCTCGACGAAACTCGGATGGTGATAAGCGCCGAGTACAAGTTCAAGCCGGCGTCATCTTGCCCAATCTAAGCCTCAGCCGTCATGTCTTCCCTAATCACCCTCCCCATGCTCCGCGCGCGACGCTTTGACGGTCCTTACCAGCTCGTCGACGTCGATGAATTCGAATTCGGAGGACATGAGACGTTCGGGTGGTTGGCAAATACTATTTTAGCATACCTGGTGACCTCAGGATGGCTCCCAGCCTCTTCGACGCCCACCCCTAGACGCATATATGCGGTACATCTCGTCGCCTGCCACCCCGTATATGCACTTAATCGCTCTATGTACAGTTGCCAGCCGAAGCACTACCCAAGGACCTTGCTAAGATGTCGTCATGCAAGCGAATGGAAGCGGTCGCCGACATTGCTGCTCCAGGCTATCTCGAATCGGAGGGCATCCCATGTTTGATGAACTCGAAGGTCTCTGTAGGAAGTCGGGATCGTTCCCTGGTGTTTGTTTACAGTGCGTTTTCTTTCTCTTCTCCAACCTCCAATTCCCCTCTGACGGCTCATGACCGAAGTCGATAACGCTGCTCCGGCAAGTGTTCCTGGAGAGGAGCACCTCGTTGATATAGGCGAGTCCATCGTACAGTTCTTCGCTTCACACCCCGAACTTTTCGACTTCCACAGTTCATGAGAAGTTCGTCCAGCTCGCGCTCGGTTCCCCGGCTCCCTCGAAAATAGCGACAAGCGCTACGAAATTCAAGGAGGCGCAAGACAGACATCCCGTTTACATGGGACGCCCACTAAGCACCCGTACTGGTCCCCCAATCGCAATTTACGTGGGCGCCTTTGCGCGTCTGCGAGATAAGCTTGCGTCACTCGACGACCGTAACGCGATGCAAGATGCTCCTAGGCCCGAGCCGTTCATCCTCAGGACAGTCGCGGATCTCTTCATACAGTCGTGCGAGCTCTATCCTACGGAGGCGGACCGCGAGAAGGCTGTCCTTCCCCTCCTCGAGGAGCTACTAGGCGTTAAGTTGTCGCGGCACCACCCCATATCCCCTGGCGAGAAGTTGGCCGAGTTTGACGCTGTTGACTTCATCGACTTGGGTGGTACAGTTCAGGCATATACTCTTGTCGTCGAAGTGAAGAATGAGCTAGGTATAGCTGGCTCTAGTGGCGTGCAGTGTGCTTTTAGATACGAAAAGGCTGTCGCCCTTCCCAGCGTGTGTACTTCTTATTCTGCGTATTCGACAGGGAAACTGAGGATGTCTTCAGTATCAACGCATCCGTAGCGTTTCGTGCTGCCCCAGCATCCTCGTCGCGGTGGCCGGCCCTTACGTTTGCTTCTATGGCGCTATTCTCGCAGACACCTTCATCGTCCAGCCCTTCACGGACTACATCTACCTTGGCGGGGACCCGGACCCGGACGAACGTATCATCCATACGGCCAGGCGCTTCTCAGCATTCAGAGAGGCCATTCGCGAACTGAGATCATACTTCAGGGGCCTACATCTGGACATTTCTGGACCCCTGCGAGCCGCACGTCTTCCCTGTCCGACGTATACTATCAGCTCTGACGCCCTCCGAAACTTGCGTTTCATTGATCGTTTCCGTTACGAGGGATTCCGCAGCGATGACCAAGACCACTTCGACCGTTCGCTCTTCTCCGCGAAGCTCAACGACAAAGCTGTCCTCGTCAAGTTCTGCACGCGGTATGGTGCGGACGCCCATCGGTATCTGGCGGGCAAGAATCTCGCCCCTGTACTGCATCACTGCATCGAGCTTGTAGGAAAGGTGACCATGGTGGTCATGGACGTCGTGGAGGATGCAGCGAGTGCGTACTACAAGTACATCAATCGTGACTTGCCGAAGAGTTTGGTGGATGAGGTTGAGAAGGCGGCCAAGGCTCTCCACGACGAGGGATACGTTCACGGGGACATACGCCGACCAAATATCATGGTGCGGGAAGGCGATATGCTGAGCGTGATGCTTATCGACTTTGATTGGGCTGGAAAAGCTGGACAGACGCGCTATCCGGTTAGTCTCAATCTCTCCGGCAACATTACTTGGGCGGCAGGTACAGAGGCGGGGGGTCTTATTGTTACCGGCCATGATGACCACATGGTTGAGATGCTTCGTAAAGGTGGCAAATGACGATGTTAGCTTGTTTCATTTGACCTGCTATGACCTATCCCTGGGATCTAGGCACCATGGGTAGGGTTAGGGAGGGAGATCGAAACCGAGCGAAGCGAGGTGAGATCGACCGGTTAGGGTTGAGGGTGGGTTAGGCGAGCTGAGTCAACGGGGGCGTTGTGTGCTACAACGTCCCGTCCCGTTTCGCCTTTTATAGCTCATCAGGACTCTGCTTAGTGCATCCCTTTCGGGAAGTGCTTATCTCTTTGCCGTCTGTCTATCCGACGGCACAGGAGATAAGGTCAATTATGCTTACGATGCCGAACGCGGCCGGAGCTTTGTTCCGATAATGACTAAGTCCGATCGGACTATGTCATCATGATTACTTACTTACTAATCACCGATCGGACTTAATCTTATCGCATCTCTAAGTGCGTGTAGCGCTTAGATAAGATAGTCCGCCCTTATCCTTATCTTATCAAAGATGGAAGAGTGGAGACGCACCTGACTTGATGTCACATGCTGTTAGACAC